AATGTAATACTGGGTAAAAAGCCCTTTATTTCTCTGTTCCTCAGTTTCTTTATTCTTAAAAAGGAGATTGTGCCTATTTGTGGGGGAGGGGGTATGTATCTTCTCTTGAATTGTCTGTGATGATTAGGATATCATGTCATATTTTTGCAGATTGGTAAATTAATTAGATCTCTTGTAGGCAGTTAGACAGGCCCACCCTCCAGGAGCCAACCAGCAAGGCGCCAACATGAAGGACAATAAAGACACATTCACTGTGGCCAGAATTGTAAAAGGAGAGAAATTACTATACCCATGTGCTTCCCCTGGGAATAAATAGCACTGATTGATATTCTAAATAGGGATCTATCACCTGGGTAGGGGGCCAAGGTCTTAACCCAGCCTTTCCAGGAAATATCCCTGACCCCACCCTCACTGAAAATCCTTGTACGCTTGCTACGTGACTTGCCCCCCATTTGACCCCCATTTAATCAGTATTACCTGGGGTGACTGTTCTTGTAAACTTATTGGTTGGTCATGGTTTTGCCCCACCTCATGCCCGCCTTGTAATTTTCCATTGGGTCTTAAAGTTTTGTCCCACTTTGTACCCGCCTTACCACATGGCTTGGCTGTATAAAATATCTTTGAGAAGTGGGGTGGGCGCACAGCCACTTTCTGGTCCCCCTTCTGTCTCAGAAGCTTTCTTTCTCTCAGTAAAAGTTTCCTACTCTTAACCTCTGTTGTTCCTAGAATTCATTCTTCGATTTTTAAAGAACAGGAACTCATGTTTCGGATATCTAGTAAGTTTGGGAGTTACACTTCTTCAATATTATAATGTCTGAGAGGTTTTACATTGATGGTTCACCTTATAAATTCACTTTAAATTGAATAAACATGTTGTTAAGTAAGAATGGCCCATTAAGTGAAATCTACTTGAGAATACTAAGTAAGTCCAGTTTACATGGCCAATTTTTCTAGGATCTATATTCTGAGTGACAGTCTATGTGAAATTGGTTTGATGGGAAGAGGAAAGTGCCATAATATGTAGCATTCAGCTAATCTATCATGTTCATTTGATAGTGGAAAAAGATTTGTAGATAATGAATTTTTGTCCTCTCAAAGATACTTCATGCCCTCTGCCTTGCTTCTGCATTTATACCATTGCTGTGTGTAAGGAGAACTTTCTCCTGACGGTGTGTGTTAATAACTAGAAAATTCCCCATCAGTAGACTAGCACCATCTTGACAGCCCTGTGTTCTGCTTCTACCTTGCTAATTGTTTCCTTGGGATTATTTGGATTGTGTAGAAAGCTTTTTGCAAATCCTCTTATTACTGAAGTCATTGTTGCCAGCAGGAATAAGATTAAAGGTGCTTAAGTCTGTAGAGTTGTTTCTAATTTGTACGTGTCATTTCAGTGGCATTTCAACAGAACTCTCTCCTGTCCCTCCTTTCTCCCCTGGTACTATCTCAAGTTAGGTCCAAGAAGCCAGGCCATTGGAAGAAATCTCATTTTATCCTTCTAATTATTATGCTGGCACTCAGGAGATAATTTTTCCCTTCATGCACTGCCAATTAATATGCAAATAAGCTGATAAATATTTATGTAATGATTTAAATTATGCAGGGAGTGCTTTCAGTGTATTCTGTAAATGAATTGTTCCCGGACTTCAAAGTGCTGGCTGCTGTGCTAACGAGGAGAGATTTGCATAAGGCCCTAATCACACGCATACTGATTAAGCTTCATTATGGAAACTGCCAGCTGCAATCTTTGTTTCTATTTTATTACAAAAAGGGGAACTTTTCATGCTTCAGTTGCCTTGACAATGTCAGTCCTAGCTGGTAGGAGAGACTAAAACTCCTCTGAGCAACTGAAGTTTCCTTATTCAGTTGAAGATTGCTATGGTGTAACTGAAGTTGTATTTTGCTTCTCCCGTTAATCCACTTTCCACTCCCCCCACACCCTTACTCTCTGAAGAACATACTGCAGATTTGTTAGAAATAGTAGTACCTGCTTTCCCTGCCCCAGACCGATACCTGTTTCTTCTTGCTTTGGACTGTCTTCATTTCATCTCTAGAAGATTTCTCAGCAATGCTGGACTGCAGTGACTGTATTCTAGGTGGGTACCAGCTCAGTTCGTTGTTAGAGCTTTAATATGGAAATAGCATGTGTGGGGTTGACTATGCATAAATGCTTAATCACATATGCAACCAGCCCGGGAGGGGGAGAGGTGGATTGTGGAAAGCATTTGCGCAGCACAGGCATCAGAGTTTGCTGTAGGTCTCTCCCTAACAACCAGCTCTTCTGGTTCAGAGGGTGCAGTATTTTCAGTAAATAGTGTGAATTTAGAGTTCAGCTTCAATGGAAGACATTTTTGCTCTTGGGGAGTTTCTGTGGGGAACTTTCATGTAGCTCAGAACATTTTAAGTCAAACTGTAAACTGTACTTAAGTAATATGTACATATTAATAAAATGTTTTTGCATACCTAATGAGAATGTCTCATACAAAAATGCTCAGTGAAAAATAAAGTGGAACCATAGCGCAGAATTGCTCCCATAAATATTAATACAGAGGGTAATTACAGTAGTGACTGTACTACATGTGTTAATCGATTTCTACATTTTAGAAATGATTTGCTGTTTTCAGATTTTGTCTTAAGATTTAGTCTTCGTTTTTACTTCTAAAATCCCACAATGTTCTTCAGAACACTGAAGTTTTAGGTATGGAAAGCCGATTTTTAAAGGTTTTTGCGTAGAATCACAAGCCTTTTAGGGAGGAAGATGTCCTGTTTAAACATATAAACTGTCTTTGGTGATTAAAATAGATTGAGGCACTTTAGTATTTAGACATAGGATGGCCCGTGGTGGCTATATTTTGTATGAAGTTTTATTTATATGCAGAATTACTGAATACTTTTTAAGTCACTGAGTCATCAGGAAACACAGATGATCTGAACTCCAGGAGTTGGCTATTTTACATTTTAAAACTTACAACTTTTTTTTTCCTTGTGTGTCTTTTTCCCCACTTGAAAACTGAGGCTGCTTTTATCACTTTTACATTTGCCAAGGAGGATAAAGTACAGTAAGCTGACATTCTGAAAATGTTTAAATTCTAATGCAAAATGCCTGTGGCCTAAATCCAAGGTAGTAGTAATATTTGTCCATTACAGGACAAATCACTATATAAAGGGTGATTGGCACCGACAACAAATTGATGTCAAGAATTCAGTGCAGTAACAGCTAGTAGACTGTATATTGTATTCATTGTGTAAAGTCAGCCCAGTGGAATAGACCTGTATTTTTTGCATTGCCTAGAAAGGGAAAAAAAGTCTGATACCAAGAATTTACATTGGTACTTATTCTTTTACATTTAGTAAGTTGGGAATTCAAGAAATGAAAAGAAGATATCTTTGGGGGATATTTTTAAAAGTTATTTTACAATCAGAAATTATGTTGAATACTTATTTCATCGAAAGTCTTCCCATCATTGCACACTTAATCAGAAAAAGGCAGAACTGACTTCATAATTACCTCATTTTATTCTTTTCTATGTGTTTGAAGTAATTTCGTTAAATGCTCATAAAGCTCTTGACAATATGGTAGGCCCTTAGAAGATTTACATAAAATACTTACATAATTTTTTATTTATAGATGTAGAAATCATATGAATTATGCAAAGTCAAGGTCATGACTTGTTAAGAATTATGCTTACTTTGTTTCTGTAATGTCTATGTATGTCAGAAAATTGTTACCCATTTTTTTAATATTGACTGATTGACTTTTTTCTGCTTTCCTGTAAAACTCACTGAAGGAAGCATTAAGCTTTCTTAATGGTTTATTCTATTAAATTTGTTGTGGACTTTGTAAATAAACTTTTGTAAGATTTTGGGTAAGTCATTCAGAAAGCTGATTTTCACTAAGTTGCACACCTGCTCCTTTCAAACCTTAGTATGCTTTCAGATGGTATTTAAATTTTTCTGGACAGTGGTGGAAGGAAGTTGTAGAACTGGCCTTTTTTATGACTGAAGAAAAATTTTAAGCCTTTGAAAATTTGAAGAACGAACTAAGATATAATAGAACTGCCTAAGCCTATAAGACAGTCCATCAGTTACAGAACTTAGCTGTATTAGAAAAGCTATTGCACAACTTCTAAGATGGAGATAAAATTTGTGAAAGAAGGATTTCTGATTTTTTTTCTACATCTCTTAAGCACTTAGATAATACAACTGTGATCAATATGATTGGGACCTCTAATGATTGTTGTTTTGATTTCCTAATGTAAATCATTTACATTTTCAATTGAAAAAAATGTGGCCTTTGGTCAAAAAGTCAAATATAGTATAGTTTAAGTATGAGTTCTTTACCAATAGCTACTGTTAAATGGTTCTTAACTTGGAGAAAAAAGGTAGAACTTACTTAATTAACTGCCTTGTTTGATTGTATAATCTCACTTTGACTTTGACTTTGGTTGGATGAGGAATACATTGATGGAAGTCTTTTTCTTAGAAATGTTTTCTTTTAGTCTATTAGATTGAGCTACTCTCCCATCTATTAGGAAGTTAAGGGTTATAAATAATGAATATCTTTGCTTATGGAAAAAAAATGCTTCATTTGGGAAAAAGGGGGTTTTTGGCTTTTGGTTTTTACTTGTTTAGGTGCTTCCCCTTCCCCAGTTTTATTTCTTTAGCATACACTTAATGTTATAAAGTGCTTATTCTTTCTACCTATCAGACTAATAATTTTTTCAGGTTAGAGTTCTACTTTAAGATTAGGATTGTTAGAAGAATCTTAATTCTTTAGAAAGAGAATTTGTGGATAATTTCCAAAGTTCATGTCTGGAGAATCCTGGATTTCCTTCAGGGAACTTATTTATAATTTTATATTTTAGCCTGACACGTGCAGCTTCTTGAATCATGTGATGATAATATTAATTAACCCTCTTCTCTGCCACACCACACATTTGCCTCCTTAACCTCATCTTTATCCCTGGTTTTAAAAAAGCCTTTTCACTTCTGATTGATTGCAGACTCAAGAATGAACAATACGTCAGAAACCAGTAAACCATCTATGGAGAATGCAGATGGCAGCACAGGTAAGGCAGGGTTCTCTGACCCAGCTTTTGAATGCATCTAATAAAGTTAAAAGAGAGTTAAGAGAGAAAGAAAGCTTCTGCTTGAATACATGTTTGGCAGATAAAAAACAATTTGTTTATTGAGTTGGCAAGTATGATTTAATACTTGCAGGAATCAGAATTATGGTTATTTAGTGTTGTCTAACTTCTCCAGATCGCTGCATCTTTCTGCTTCATCTGTTAGAGCAGCTACATTGTAGTTATGGGAATACTCCTATGGGTCAGATAGTGGTGAGCACGAGTTACGGATTTGCCACTTAGTAACTGTGTGACTTCAGGCAAGTTCTCCAGTATTTTTGAGACTTTATTTAATTATAAAATGGGGACATTTCATAAAACATTATGATGAGTATTAAATGAGATAACAGTGCCAGCTACACAGTAACCATTCAGTTAAAAAGTTCCTCTTGTTACACTTATCAAAATAGTAATCTGATCCACCCCACATTTGATATAAATTAATTATGATAGTATATGGTACTCCTATACATTCTTTTATTTCATTTTTAAAATTTAAATTGGATTAAACCTTTTATATGGAGAAAAGTATCAAACAAATGAGAAAAAGACCCATGAGTCAGGTACTTCCATGTAAAGGACAGTTTATCTCCATAGCCCATACCTGTAAGTCTGTGTTTTACTCAGAGGCCATTTATTTGTGCATCTTTTATCATCTTCCGAGGCGGTACAGGCACTTCTAATTTTCTGGTGGAGGCATAAATTAAAATACTAAGCCATATTAAGAAGGCGGTTGTGGGAAAATATGCACAGAAAGTAATTGTTTCTAAAATAAACTAGATTTTTCACTTGCAGAGAGGGTTCCTTCTTTTCCTTTCTCTTTGTGTGTGTGTGTGTGTGTGTGCTGGGGATCAAACTCGGGCCCTTGTGCTTGCAAGGCAGGCAGCAGAACCACTGAGCCAAATCCCGACCCGACTATCATTTTTAAATGTGTACAACTATGGAAGATGGTGCGAATGAGATCCCTTTTACCTTTTAGTTTGTAGTAGGTGGATGAGTTAAATCATTACAAGTTCCCTGCCTGCTTATTTTTTATTGTAAACTGTCCTGTACCTAGAGATGCTTGTTAACCTTTTATCCCTAAAATGTCTAGTACCTATATCTTTATGTGAAATTAAGCTGTGAGGCTTACGTATTCAGCCTATGTCCTAATGTCTCTATTCCTCTAACTGAGGTCTCTGACAGCCTGTCTACACGGCTGTCTCCTAAGAAGGGGGAGGTAGTCTTGTATTTAAATTGTCAGCCAGTTTTCTTCCTAACATTTCTGTGTCTCATTTGGTGACCCCGTGTTTCTTCATCTCATACTCAGTACAGGGACTCTGGCCACTGCCCGTTGTTTATAGAGACAGGCCAGTGGACCACACTGGGAGGGCATTTGTGTCTAAAGAACAGCTTATAAGAAGAGAGAAGGTGTTTTCTTGAAGGGAAACAGACTCACAGAAATATCTACTATGTCAAACTCTTTGGGAATCCTCATATTTATTTTAATCCCCACAGTTTCAGTGACTATAGTTTATTGAGCACCTACAACATTTAAAAAAACTCTAGTCGTGATTTTTTTAATCCTAAGCACTATACACATTAATTGATTTCAATTTAAGTTCTTATGACAAGTTATTTGTTTTTTCAAGGAATAGAAAATTAAAGCACAAAACCAGCTAGGAAGTAATGACAGGTTTGGAATTTGTAACCTACATGTAATTTTTTTCATGAACCGCAATAAAATGCAACTTAAGATTTAAGCAGCACTTTGTGTGTGTTCTGCCCTAAAACCATTTGCAGAGTTATATAAGATAAAATCTGAGTGCTTTGGAGGCCAAAATAGGATCAAAACTTTGAGGCCTATTGGAATTGGTGGTGCATTCCTGCAATCTCCATATTTGGGAAGCTGAGATATGAGGGTCACCTTGAGTTCAAGGCCAGCCTGAACTATCTAGTGAGACCCTGTCTCAAAAAAAATTTTTTTTTATTTTTTGAGGCCACCCTGTGCCTCATTAGCAACTTGTGGGAAACCCTGGACTACAAAGCAACAAATCTGTCTCAAGAAAAAAAAAAAAAAGATAAATTCTGGCTGGAGCATTTGTTGAAACAGCCTTATCAATGTCTTGCCCTGTTTTAATGTGGAATGCTTGGCCAACTTGCTTTCATCATAGAGCCAGGCATTACCAGTTTGGACATTTCCTTTTAATTCCTCTAGAACGAATCAGGGACCAAGAGCTATACTTCGTACACTCCTTTTACTTCCATCACTAGCAGTGGCAGTTTGTTTCCTCTTTTCTCTAGGAGACAGTGGTTTTTTTGTAAGAGCTACTGCTAATGCAGTAACGTATAGCCGGATCAAATGTGAAATGAATGATCAGCTGACCTAACTCTGAAGCAGAAGAGAGTTCACTTCCTGTTTGTCTACTGTAGCATTTGTTGTATTAGTAAAATTAAAATTAAAAATTAGTTCCATTTTATGGCCCTGTATTCTCACTTGAATGTAAAGGAAACCTTGACTGTCAAGTCTCTCAAATGTTATGGACCTTTTTCTTAGCACGTCGATTGACGTTGATTTGGTAGTTTACAAATGTAAAACTACATTTGAGTTCTGGTTTGCATATGTAAGTTACCATGTTTGATATATTAAGAATAAAATTAGGTTTTTTAGATACATGTTTATATATCATTTTTGTTTTAAAATGTAGATGAGCCTAAAGGCAGCTATTTATTATTTATGATTTTTTTTGGTAGTTTATGAAAAAACAAGCAAAATTTTTAATTGGAGAGAACTCTTAACAATATAAATAAAACTGATGTATCATGTTTTCTGGATTCAGAATACTTTTTGGTTAACCATATTTTCCTGAAATGTTTATAGTTGTAGTAATGATATCATTTGTGAAATTCTAAGGGCAGTGATATTACTTAAAATTATGTTGATATGTTATTTTCTTGCCTTTCTCCTACCAGTGACTTATTTAAGAATCCAAATCTGAACGCCTGTGGTTCAGGCTTGTTCAGGTTTATCTATATATGTGTAAAATGTTACTGTTGCTGTTATTAGATGTAGTATGAAGAGCTGAGAATTTTACTCTTCCTTTAAGAGAAAAGACAAACACACAAATAACTGATTCTGGGTAGGTGATGGTAATTCCAGAGCAGAGACAGACAGAGAAGTGCCATAATGGGGTTGACTGCGTGTTTCTTTGAGAAAATTTGAATGTTTAGTATACTGAGAAGAAGGAGCCATCAGGGAGGAAGAGGGTGAAGAAAGAAAAATAATTGGTGGAACTAGGTAGGGAAATAAGGCTACGATGAAGAACAACAGAATGGGATTAACTTTGGAAATGAAAAGTATATGCCCTTTTCTCTAAGATTGGGAGAATTATTTTATGTCTTTACTGCACAAGGATTCTGGAGTACGCTGTAGGATCACAACGTTGAATAAAATACTGACTTGCTTTTTGTTACAAAAAATTTCGTCTTGTAGAGAAAACAAAAAATATGTTGTATAACAGAAATTGAGAAGATTCATAAAAAGTATGTGTGAATACATGAGAATTCGGTGTGGGGAGAAATTATGTCTAGGTGAGGTGATCAGAGAAGACTTGGAGAAGGTGGTGGAATGCACTACCTGGAAGGCTGGACAGATAACATTTAAACGTAATGTGTGTGTGTGTGCGTGTGCGTGTGTGTGTGTGTGTGTGTGTATGTGTGTGTTCAGCATGAAGAAATGGTAAAGGCTACGATGGGGAGGAAGAAATCTGCCCCAAGCATGTCCAGTTTCTTCAGTTCTTCCTTCATGTCATGTGATTTCAAGATGCTTTGTAGTTTAATCTAGTTGAAACTGACCTAGACCTCACTATTAGCCCAGGCTGGTCTTGAACTCACAGCGATCCTCTTGCCTCAGCCTCCCGAGTGCTGGGGATTATAGGCGTGCTTCACCACGCCCAGCAGTAGCCTTTGTTTTTTTGAGATAGGGTCTCATTAGTTGTCCAGGCTGGGCTTGAATTTGGTGAAACCTTCTGCCTTAACCTCCCAGAGAGATTACAGGCACCCACCACCACACCTCACTTAAAATTATTTTTTATAATTAATGAAAGTATTTTTAAATAAAAAATTTTAGTATGATTTTTTTTTCCGGTGGTATTTGTTTTGAACTATAAAAACTTATTTTCTTTTAAAGCAGTCAGGTAATCTGTTGGTTCATTTGAGTTTGTAGGCATTTAACTGTAAGGCTTTTTCACCTGAGTTATGATAGATCCAAGATTCCTCCAGCCTGTCTTTTTTTATTTCATTTTTATTCAAATGCTGCCCTCTCCCCGGGATGATAGCAAGAGCTTTGTGACAAATCAAAAGGCTAAGTAAATGTATTAATTCAACCTAATACACAGTTATGAAGTAGCACTCCAGAAATATCATGAGGATTTCCTTATAACCAGTGATGTATTTGTTCTGTGATATCTCCTAGTGCCATGCTGGTATTAGAAAATTATCTTCATAAAAGAAGATATTCATACATCATTTTTTTCTACATGAAGACGAGGGATCCTTAAAAGACCAGGTTTCAGTTCATATACTTGCTGTTCTTCATAGTAATTTAAGAACTTTATGCCTTAACCAGATTTTGGAAACTGTTTCCAGATAAAATTTCAGTGTTTTCAAAAGTCTCAGGAAATCACCAGGGGATAAGGTTCAAATATAGTCCTCATCAGAGCAGAGTAGAATAATTGCAGATTTCAGATTCTGAAGGACTATCTTCCCTTGTTTCTTTTTATTATTATCATCACCTTAATGTTTATTACATATTTTACTGTGTGGACTCTATTCTGCATGGGCCAGTGTGTTCATATAAGCCTGAGTGTAAAAATCCCAACAGTGATGCTTGTAGGAATTCCTTAATGGTGAAGTTTTAATAAAGAGTGTCTTAGTTACTTTTCTCATTGCTGAGATAAAACGCC